AGCATGGGAGGGGGCTGAGGACAGATCAGCACTGGCCTTTGGATGCTCCCTGGTGCATGTGATCTGGGTGCCATGAATGTTGGTGGCCAAGAGACCAACTCCTGGGCGGGAAAGCGAGGGTCCCTGGTGAGGTTTCACTGTCCGACCAGGGAGGGCCTGAAGCTGGTGGGCTGGGCTACCAGTCCTGTGGACCAGAGTGGGAACATGTGATGCCTCTTCTTTGCTTGCTCATGGCCACCTATGACCCAATCAACAAACACTTCATCCCCACTAATGCCTAAAAAAGTCCCAGACTCAGCCAGACCCAGGGAGAACATTGGGACACCTAGCAGCAGAGAGGAGCTACCCACTACTGGGATGGTTTTCCTGCAGGCAAAACAACCCACTTCAGGCCTCCTCCATGTTGAGAGCCGTGGAGATGATGAGATGACTTTCCTGGAGAGAGTGACAACCCACTTCAGGGCCTCCTCTCTAGTGAGAGCTGTGGTGATGATGGGACAACCCCAGGGCCTCTTCTCTTCTCAGAGCTGAACACTCATGAGGACACCCCGGCTGCAGAAAGAAGCTACCCGCTGTGGGTCTCTGAGCTGTTCTATCATTCAGTAAAGCTCCTGGTTATCTTGCTCATCCTCCACTTGTCTGTGTATTTCATTCTTCCTGTACGTGGGACAAGAACTTGGGACCCACCTAACGGTGCGGCTAAAAGAGCAAAAACACAAACAAAGCCCCTTGCTCACCATGTTGTGGGTGAAGAGAAAAACTGAAGAGCTGCTACTTGTCCAACAGCCCAGACATGGGAGCTTCCTGGGCCAAGGCTATGACTCTCTTTGGCGGGTTCTGCAGTTCCTGGCATTTCCAAGTTTCAGACTCCACCATGTACTCAAGTGCAAGCCTTGAAAGCTGATTGTGCTGCAACTGGTTCAGTTGCAGGCTTGTAGTGATCTGGCATCCGTGTTGGCACCTGGAACTGCCTGCCCCACTGCTGCAGCAGCCAGTGACTGTGCAAAGTGGCCAAACCCTGCCAACCCCCGACCCACCCCTGACCCACCTTTAATCAGCATGTGATCCAGACCTGAATCATGAGCCAAGCCTGGTCTACCAGGCTGAGTGGGGAGAAGGACCCAATCAAAACTTTTGCAAAGATGCCCAGCAACAGAGGTTTCTGTCCAGAAAAGTGACATCCCAAGGATTCCATAACAGAGTAAATTACTTAAATACAAAGACAGACAATATTAGCAATGAATATAAGAGGTCACAATTCTTCAATGGAAAGATATAGAGTGGTTGAATGAATAAAATAAGACCCCACTATATGCTGTCT